TGTGGCTTGCGCGAAAAAGCGAATTTGATCAGGATTCGATTTGTCCTCCACGTCGGGACCGCTCCTTTTTCCATGATCGTTTCTTCCCTCCCACGCCGGTGGTAATCAGTTCCTTTCCGTGTGTCCCGACCAATGACGAGCCGGACGAGAAACGTAACATACAGCTCGATGTCGCGTCCTGCAGAGCCCGCAGAGCGACAGTAGCAGCAGCTCGCGATCGGCCGAGTCACCGATGTCGGTCCAGGTGGATCCGATGGCGGCGTCCGTGGTCGCCGCGGCGCTCAGCGGTACCTACCCCACCTTGCTGCCCCAGTGGTGTCTGCCGCCAAGAGAGGCGCCTCTCATCGGGGTGCAGCCTCATCAGGACAGCACGACGCCGCCCGACCAACCGCTCGACCTCTCGGCCAAACCCAAAAATTCTCAGGTACGTGCCTCCTTCTGGCGTGGGTAGACTCGCTTTCCTTCTCCTTGCGTGTCGATATAAATGCATACATCAACATTCTAGTAGACCATCATCTAATGTCTTATCGTCTTCTCGTAATCACGTTTACGTGGATGTTACGAGTTTTTATCACCAGTTTTAAATAACAACCTATGTATCACGTAGCACAGCGTGGCTGATGTGTCCTATGCTTTCTGTCGCAGGATAACAACATATCTCTATTGGAGCAACAGAAAATACCTCTAAGGATGACAGCAGGTATCGACCCCAAGAGTATCTTTAAGTAAGTAGCCTTCTCTCCTCTACAACGGTAGATAGATTACTCGATCGGTCACGTGACGATGCACCGACGAACCAAACGCCAAAGTTGAAAGAATCGTGCCGGTGTTATTACGAGCCCACCTCTCTGGATAGAGCTCGCAGGTATTTACATTCCGCGCGAGCAGAGGAAAGTGTTGATCGCATTCCGTGCCGCGTGTTCCAAAGGATCGTGAATAGATTGGTGTTGGAGCGACGATTTAGCGGACGGTACGCGTACTGGGTGATTGCACTCTTCCTCGAACGTTACTCTCTCGATCATCGAAACGTGTCTTGGATACTTTTTTTCTATTACGCGGAAGTTGTGTCGTTAAATAGAGAATTCGCGATATATGTACCGCGAGTTGGAGTCGATAGACGGGACTCTGTACGAGAGCGGGTAATTAAAAAGTTTCCCGTTGGTTGTTTGCTTATTCGGAAATTTTTGCCGTCGTGCCGCGTCCCATTGTTCGCAAGCCACTCATTACGAAAATTCGCTAGAAAGTCAGGCAACATTTTTGCGCCGCGCCGCGCCGCGCCGCGCCGGTTTGCTGGAAACACCGCGCGTCGTACCGCGTTAATCTCCTCGATAGAATTCGCGTGTCCGTGAAACGATCGTGCCGCCTCGCGAACCTTTATCTACCGCTTATTAGTCGAACGAAAATACGCGATAGGTGGGGTAGATGTTTGATTCGGTAGGAAACCGCGCGGCAATCTGGTCTAGGATCGCGTCCGTTCCAAAGGGTGACTCGAAAATTACAAAGAGAAACTTTGCGCGCCCGAATCGGCCGTGAAAGTTAATCGAAGATGAACGGAAGAGAAATCGGAAGATCCTTGCTGAAAATTCAAGCTAAAATCGAGGCGCGCTCTCTTGAATAAATTTCCCGCGGAAAAAAGAAAGAAAGAAAGAAAGAAAGAAAGAAAGAACGGTTTTCACTCGGCTAGTTGAACGTTTCCCAAAACCAGAATAACGGTGAACGCGACGAATCTAAAGCGAGATAGCCGGTTTCCAACGAGTGGCGACGATGATTGGCGGAAAAATAAAGAACATTGGGCGGTAGATCGGAGAAGAACGGCGACGAAGACGAGGAACGCGTACTTTGAGTCAAAGTCGCGAAGCGTGTCCGTACGTTGCCCTCGTGTTTTCGCTGTTTTCCCCGCGGAACATTTTGCGCGTCAAATTTTTATCGTCGTCTATTATTAGTCCACCGTAATCTGCACCTCATGGACTCATGACACATCGAAGGCACAAAGTAGCTCGCGTGTGTCGTGCGCCGCGTGAGAAAGATCGAAACGCGAAGAGGAACGCTGGAGAAAAGGAGACGGGGGACAGTGGTTCGCGGCCGCGCATGCGTCGTGCCGTAATTAACGATAAGATAGCCCGCCGTCGAAACCGCGCGAGTCAAGTCGAAATTAGAAGCTCGAACGATCAACCGAGATGAAGTCAGTCAAAATCTTTCCTCCCAGGCGAGCACTGTCCAGATTATCGTACTTACGCACGTAGAATAACTTTGGATCGGCGGCAGGAAGAAGTTGTACATGTAGTACGTTCGAAAGAAGAACAGTATGCGGCAATAGTTATTTACAAGTACGATACATATAAAGATAGGACCTCGTGGAATGCATAGAGATTGGAATGAATTTAAGCGTAAAGTAAAAACACACTGCGGAGATATGGTTTTTTACCGAGTGACAGAGTCAAGTCACTTTTATCAGCTTACTTTGCTGGTGCTGAACGGAGAGAATGGGTCGACGAACCCGTCATGGGGGGCCACGTTTCTTAGCAGTCGCCGACGTGGAGAGTATTCTTTTACGATGAATTCTCGCGATTAATCTTATCGTCAAACAGTGAAACAAATTGTATACCGGTCCGATTGCTATCTGTCTCGCTTACGTCACCTCGATTCTTCGAACAGCCTCCGGACCGGATAGGGAATTGGAATTCGTTCGTTGAACGAACGATAAACGAAAGGGAAGAGGGGCGAAACAAAAGAGAGGTATCGATGAATATGTATAGCATGAAACTGGGAGAATAAGACGGGACGTGGGGTCGCGGGAAACCGAGCAAAACGGATGGGCATAAATCGCACAACTCCATAAAACGTTTTAATTGCGTAACGTCTGGTGCGGCGGGGTTTCTCACCATTAGCTGCCTAATTTCGTAACTCGAATTCGTTCTAATGCAGCCGCGCACGGTCGAAGATCAAAGTGTTAACGAGAGAGAGACGCTGTTGTTCCGATCGATTCCGCCGCTTCTCGTGCACAACACGTGCGCGTACCACGCCGGCCACGTGGTACACAGTTGCCCGGTGAATCACCTATACACGTGAGCTGTTCGTGCTACGAAAAGTGACCTGAGTAACTTCGTTGCGGATGATTCAGGGAATCAGCGGGAAATTCAGGTGTCTGTCTTTCCTCGGTGCATCAGGCCCGGTGACCTACGATATGTCGAGCGATCAGAAGGGTTAAACCAGTGCTGGATGTTTTAGTTCTTGTTACCGCGCGAAACCGCGTATGACCGGGACGGTGGCGGCTGTGGCGGCGGCGGCAGCTGCGGCAGGCGTCGGTGGTGTCCCCGTGGTGGGTGCCGGGGGTGGCCGGAGGGCCTACACCGAGGAGGAGCTGCAGGCTGCGCTCAGGGATATCCAGAGTGGCAAGCTTGGCACACGAAGGGCGGCCGTGATCTACGGGATACCACGTAGCACCCTGCGCAACAAGGTCTACAAGCTTGCGATGGAGCGCGAAAGGGACGCGACCCTGTCTAGCACCCACTCACACCCTCACGAGCCCGGCGCCCCAGCCACCACCACCACGACCATCACCACCACCACCACCACCACCACTACTACTACTACTACTACTACAACACCACCAAATACGACCCAAAACGCCTCCGCGACCACTCCGACCCCGCAAGTGGACGAGGTAGGTTTTGGGGACAGAACAAGTGAAAAAGAGAAGCGGAGAGAGAGGGAGAGGGTGAGAAAGAGAGAGAGAGAGAGTGGAGAGAACGTATGAGAGAGGAGAAGCGAGCATATTATTATTACATTAACCCCTGTTCGATTTTTACAATCGTCCACGTCTTTTTTAGAAAGAGAGAGAATTGAGAATTGGCAATGACAAGGATCGAGAGTAGGGTTGGGAAGCGTAGAGAAACACGTGTTGAGATACCACGCTTCTTCTGGCACCGGTGGCGACGAGAGTTTCGTTCTCGGTCTCTTTTGAACTTGCTTGCTTTAGTTAGAGTTAGAATCGTCCGATAATCGTGTCGGTGACAGTAGGAGGGGATCGCTTCGTAAACTTCCATCGCGGTTTTCATTTTTCCTCCTGCTTGTCTTTTTCTTTCACCGACTCTCGATGATTTTGTTTCGAATATTTACACGAACCAGTTCCTTCCAGGTTCGGTTCCACCGTCGTTAATCGTAAGTTATCGGACGTTAAGAGGAGACGCCTTTGGACGCGATTTATCTCGAGCTAAAGATTGTGACGCGTCCAAGAACAACGGGAGAGACGAAAACGTTCGATGAATGTTGGAAGAAGGAAGGGGAGGGTTAAAACGAGAGTTGGTTTCGATTCGCGTGGAGAGACCGCCCATTTGTATCTACAGTGTGGTTTTGGTTAGGAAGAACGAATTGGAGCTTCCCCAAAACATACCTCTGCCACGGTGATCGTAGAATTCGCGTGGACCGATCGCGCACCAGGGAACCCTTTTTCTAGCCCATAGGCAAACACGAAAGATGAACCTCGGTTCACGCGGGTTCTTTATCGGTTGCCGTGATTCTCAGTAGCGTCGAATGTTTTTGCATGGGCTGTTTAACTTTTTTTATCTCACTATTTGTAGTTTAACACACGGCCGCTTGGTCTTGGCGAGGTTGCAAGACTCGAGGTAAGTTTTCGGGACGAGCTGACCAGAAAATGTTTCTCTTGGACCGCGAAGCTTGTTGTTCGCGACGGGCTGATAGAGCCCTATCGAGTATACGCTTTTTTCAACCTCGACACTGTGTATTAGTTGACGTTCTGCTCTGAAGCAAGGCTCTGTGTTACCGCGGTATACGTTGGTATCGTTTCTACCTGACGTTCTGACGAATAGCAAGGCATGCTTACAGGCGGCGTGGCTTTTCCGGCAAGATTGCGCCGAGAACGATACGATTAATTTTCCAAAAGTATCCGACGATTCTTTGAAAGTTTCTCCGTGACAAAGTAGTTTTTTGGGAAATTAATCTCGAATCGAGATCGTTTGATTAAATTTTCTGTTGAGCAAAGATGTTCTGCCTGGTGTCGTTAGGAGAAGCGCAGGTAGTTTAGTTGCTGGTAGACATTTTCGTTTGAACGCATGTTGTTTGAGTAATAGTTGCGACCTCTGCTGCCTCTTTTTACTCGTCGGGGTGAGTGAGACACATTTTTCAAGCTGGTTCTCAATTTTCCCACTTTGCCTTTCTCTTTCTTCATTTCCGCGGCCGAACGACACGAATCCGAGTAGCCTCTTGCTTTTTTCTCTTCTTCTTCTTCTTCTTCTTCTTCTTCTTCTTCTTCTTCTGTACGTGTAACGCTTCTTGCGAATTACAATTCCTCCTGGCTATTCCTGCATGACGCTTGGTCATTCTGCATCTGACGAAGAGGAGGAGTACTTATTATACATGGACAATCGACACCACGAATACAAACTAACACAGACACGCGTACATATACAAGCTACACAGAAGAACGCCTCTCGATGAAAAAAGAAAGTAAAGTGTGGTTCGATTCGATTGAACGACGTGAATTTTCCTCGAGAGGGCCAATTAATCCTTATACTTGAATTTGTAGTAGTGCCCCGGTAGTAGGGTGTGCAGAAAAGGCTAGAAATAAATATTCTTAACAGGTGGACGACAAAGAACTGTCGGGTGCGGAAGAGGAGAAAGAAGTCGAGAAAGCTCTGTTGAAGCCACTGTTGTCCTTGGAGGATCTGGTGAGGTTCTCAGCCCTCGAAGGAAGCGGCGGAGATTCCCTGAGAACGTTGCTGCAACGAGGACAAGAGACCGGAGCCGAATGGCCAGGGCTAGAACACGCGAACATCGGTCCGTACATACAAAAGATGCTCGCAGCAGCTGCGCCGTTCAAAGGTGAGCCGAATACCGAGTAATTCTGCTAAGAGAAGGGAAAAAACTGTAAGTGGTAATAGGAAATGAGACGGAAAGCCGATGTTTCGGTGAAAGAAGGTTGCAAGGGTCGACTCGGGTTATTTCCGATAGTTAGACGTTAGACCGTTTCATTGGCCGACTGGGCAGCCAGTCTACGGGCAGGTCCGAGACGAAAGTCGAAAAGTGTATTACGAGCGAATAGGTCTTCGGAAATCGATAGAAGCCAGGCCCTAGTCGACGGGTCGCCGACACTTTTTCCACCTTCTGAACGGAACTTCGTTTAAGTGGCTTAAACAGTTCCTAGAGGCTAATCCGAGATTAAGACAAATGCTCGTAGGCACGAAGAGACCGACGAAATCGTATTTCTCAACTGGGAAAACTTTCCTTCCCGTTTTCAACAGGCATGGAGTCGCAAGACTATCGCATTCCAGAGGTGATGAGAAGACTGATGAGCGAAGACAAGAGGCTAAACAAGAGCGTAAACGGGGACCAGTCGCAGCCACCGCATCAGCAGCTTCATCATCATCATCATCAATCGACGCATCCGCAGGCGCAGTCGCAGGCGCAACAGCAGCAGCAGCAACAGCAGCAACGCGGACCGATCACCAACGACGACTTTAATCCCAACATCGAGGAGGAGGCGAGCGACAGCGCTCAAGGTAGAGCGATTCTGAAGATTCCGTCCTACAAGCCCGCCAGTACCCCTGGATGTTCGAGCAAAAACGGCGAGCCAACGTCTGCGGCGTTCGCCCAAGGGTTCGCCGCCGCTGCCTCGAGTCCGGGCCTTCTGGAACGAGCCAGTCCGGCGTTCTCCGGCACCAGCAGCCCGACCAATTCGCTGGTCGGGAAAACGGTCGCCGTGAATTTCCGTGACGTGATCGCGAAGAGCATCAGCGTGAAATTCCAAGAGGGTCAGTCGGTCGCCGCGTCTGGAATGCCCGGGTGTCAACAGGCCGGGGTAGTACAGTCGCAGCAAACCATGATGAACGACCCTAGCCCGTTCAAGAGGGGACGATACACTCCACCTCAGCCATCCTCGCAGCAGTCGCAGTCGCAGGCGAAACCGCAGGCTCAGGAGGCGAACAAACCGAAACCGGCTACCGGCGGCAAGGGAACCAGACCGAAACGCGGCAAGTACAGGAACTACGACAGGGATAGCCTGGTCGAGGCTGTACGCGCTGTTCAGCGGGGTGAAATGAGCGTGCATCGCGCAGGCAGCTATTACGGAGTACCACACTCCACCCTCGAGTACAAAGTGAAGGAACGGCATCTGATGAGGCCAAGGAAGAGGTACGTTCTCCACCCTCCTGTTCGCCATTTTCCCTCCTTCTCCTTTTCCGCGTGCTCTCCCTCTCTACCCGCGACGGTCATATTTCGCTCCTGATTTTCTCATTGTTCCAGGGACCAGAAGCAGTCGGACGACAAAACGAAAGAGACCGTGACAGCGGCGGCTGCCGCCGCGAACATTCGACCAGGCACGGCGGACAAGAAACCTCAGCTGAAGCCGCAGAAGCCGTTCACACCTCCCGGCGGTATACCAGGCCCGAACGGGATCAAGATGCCCCCGTTCATGGAGGGTATGCCTCCTCTACCGTTCACGCCGTTCAACTTCTGGAGTCCGCCGCCGTTCATACCATCGCCGTTCATGGCTGGAGCGCCCAACGTCCCGACCATCTTACCGGAGCAGTACTTCGCGACCAGCAGGATTCGCGGGTTGCAGGAACAACAGAGAAACGCGGCGATGGTGCAACAACAGCAGCAACGAGACAGGGACGGTATCGGCGTGGCCGCGGCGACCGCCGAATCACCTGGGACCTCGAATTCGCGCAGCACGCCGATGAGCAAAGGGCCGAGAGAGGTGTCCGAGAGCTTGTACGACGGTTCCGGGGCGAACGGTAGTTTCCTGGACAATTTGATCAGGTCGAGCCTCGAGACGGGAATTCCAAGGGACCAGAGGGCGATGACCGAGGCGAGGAACCAGCAACAGTCCTCGTCGCAGCAGCAACTCCCGGAATCGATGAGGAGTAAAACGTTGATCGATCAGCTGTGCAGAAACTCGAGGAGGACACCGGTGCCGCGGTTAGCTCCGGACAGCAGCGAGGACGAGAGTTACAGGGGACCGTCCGCAACCGGAAGGCCGGTCCCCGAGCGACCGGAACGTGTGCCCACCGTTGACCTCAGCCCGTCACCGTCCGACCGCGGTCGGAACGACGACGGTAGCGATCGTCTCACGTCCCCACCGACTCCTCTCTCGATATCGAGAGCCGGTAGCAGAGACGAGGACAGTACCCGCGACTCGAGGATCGATCGTAGCAGCAGGGAACGCGAAGTTCACAACGGTGGCCAAGAGGATCGGGATCGAAAGTCTCTGACCATTCATCAGCCGCAGCAACAACAGCAGCTGAATCACTACCCGGACTTACACAATCTCTACGCCGTATCAACTGACAAAAAAAGTGCCTGTGATAGTAAGCTTATAGTAGATCCTTCGAGCCAGAAGGCTCAACAGCAGCAGCAGCCGTCGCAGTCGCCGCAGCAACCACCACAACCACCACAACCACCACCACCACCACCACCACCACCACCATCACAACAACAGCAACAGCAACAGCAACAACAACAACAACAGCAGCAGCCACAGCAGCAACAGAAAGAGTACGGTGCAGTGAGCGGACTGGTTGTACAACTGCAGCGGGGTTACAATAGCGGGAATAACAGGTCCGGCGAGCAGACGACAAACAGCCAGCAATCGACGGAGCAACGCGGACCGGTGATCAGTATGGAAGACTCCGTTGAGCAGTAGGAAGAGAAAAAAGTCGGTATCGTTGATCATCAGTCAAAGTAAATAGAGAGTAATACGGCGAACGGATCCGTGTTTAGACGGTAAGAGCCCATTACCCATTGAAAAATGCGAGTGCGGCATGCAGTGCGCACTTGAACGCGTTTGCCACACGGTATGCGGCCCACCCCGAGCTCAGGGCACCCTCTCTCCTTCGGTTCGCCGCTCGGTACATCGCGCGCCACTAACGATCGAATCGCGTCTCTCTTGTCTCTCGTGATCGGCTGACTCTCCGCGACAAAGAACCGGAAATCGAGCAGGAGCCGTCGCGCGTCAGCTATGAAAGCGAACGCGCGACCGTTTCCGAGGAGAGAAGAGGGCGTGGAAGCCGGAGGAGCGCCTCTTGCCGTTGGTGTGTGCGTGTGTAGGACGAGGGACGTTTCGAGAACGCGAAACGTGGCACGAAACGAAACGAAACGAAACGAAACGAAATGAAACGAAACGGTAGTAGCCCCAGCCTGATCCTGCCCTTTCCATCCGGAAGCCCCTTGAACGTCGCGAAGCAACTTCGCGATACACCAAACGAAAGGCGACAGAAAGAAAAAGAATCTATCCAAACATCCGTGAACCCACTGCGATTCCATCAGTTGCACGCGCATCCGGCACCACCGATCTCCGTCCCAGCTGACGGTAGGTCGTACCGGAAGAACACTCACTTTTCGATTATGGCGATATTTCGATTGGAGGAGAACGCGAACACTTGTAACGGTGTTACAAGACACACGTTGCGATGTTATTGTAACATACTCATACTCGATTCACACACGCGTACACGCATACACATACACATGGACAGATTACACGCAGGTAGTTGTACTTTCACACACGTACATGGACGCCTCTGACAGCGTCGGATACACGCGGTAGCGCCCCGTACGTACGTACCAAATGCGTACTACGGTCGCCTGCGCGATATCCTACGCGAAGGATACCGAAAATAAAGGAAGAAAAATAAAAATGAAAACGGGGAGCAGACGAACAGTACGCGGTAAAAAGCAGTCCGCGCGTGCACGCGTCCGTAGGAAAAACACGCGTTGGGTAGGAGCGCGCGGTGAAAATTCCGCAGGGTTGCACCCGGCCGACTGTACGCGCGCGGAAAAATCGTCGGCCGCCACGCACTAGGACTTTTCGAACGCGCACGGGAGGAGATGAGGAACGAACAAAAAAGGAAAAAAAGAAGGACAAGGGTTAAAGAGAAATGAAAAGAAAAAATTGCCGACGCAGCAACGTATTTTTTCCTCTATCGATGTAAAACTACCTAATGCAAAAAGAAAAAAAACTTATTACCTACTACTAACATTACTTAACTCGTAAGGAGCAACATAATTATTAGGTGACGTTTTTTCATAAGGCGACAATATTTCTCTAATCTCTCGGTTATTTCGAGGCTGGCGTTCGGTAGAAACGCGTCCCGCGTCTCAAAAGAAGAAAAAAAAGAAAAATAAGAAAAAGAAGAAAAAACGGGTCGCAACCAAGAGGGATAAAAGGAAGGGGTGGCAGGAATAAGCTTTTTCGAAGAAAGAGTCTCAGGGCCGGTGTTCGTCGACGAGAGTCCCCTGTCGCGCGATAATCACAAATTTCGAGAATCGTTGGTTTTCGACGTGTGCGTTGGAAAGATCGTCTAGAGGTAGACTTTCGTCGACGAGGACCGCGCGCTCTGCTGCGCTTCGTGGAACTACAGTGAGGAAACCTATGACGGGAACGTTAAGAGGAAGGAAACACGTAGGTTTATTGTAAGGAGTTTCTGGAGGGAAAGGATTACTATAATAGGCGCGCGCTTGCTCTTGACTCGGTTGTCCTTTTACCGAAGTGCAAAATTTTTTCTTACACGCGCGGCAATGGCCACACACTTTTGATACGAATTGCAAATTTTCTACCGCGTAGAGGAAGAGAGGCCAGCAGTTGCATTTCGCGGCATTCGTAGAATTTTTTCTTCGCGAGGAAAACATCCGTTCACTTCTCGACTGGGGATCGCTTTATTTCGGATCTACTATACTATTAATTACTCTTTTGCGTCGATTATCGAAGCGTACAATAAGTAAACAAATCAGGGAGAAGACGAGTTGAACGTTAGACTTTTCTACAAAACTCACACACTAGGACTGCATTCTCGACGGTGTTTTCCTTTTAGCGACGAAAAGAAGGGAAACAAAGAGAAAGAGAAAAAACGTAGGAAAAATTAGATGAGAAATTCGCGAGAACGTGTGGAGAATCGGCCGCCGTCGTTCTTCAGGGGGGCGAAACTTCGAAATTTCTATCGAGGAAGCACACGTTCGCGGTAAACAATTCACTGGTACTTTTTTCAGGGATTAAACGAATTTTTAAAGCTTTTATCGATCGTTTCGGCGGCGACGACGACGACGACGACGACGACGAGGACTACGAACGACGTGGACGAACGACGCGGACGAACGACGAACGACGAGGTTAGCGTGTTTTAGAACAGTTGTCTAATTTTTGGCAAGGATCAGTCACACCGTTGTGTAGGAGATATCGAGGATATTCGCGATCGTGTTTGATCGCGGGCAAGTTGAGCGACGACACTGAAGAACGCCAGTCCCTCCTCTTTTGAATAATTTTTTCGCAGGTTG